AGAGGCTTGTAGGGAGATTGTTATACCTTTCTATGACTCGCCCAGACATTGCATATGCTGTATGTGTCCTCAGTCAGTTCATGCATACTCCTAGGTCCTCTCATCTTGAAGCAGTAGAGAGAATTCTCCGATATCTAAAGAAGTATCTGGGTACTGGCTTGTTATTTCAAAAGCACGGACATTTAAAAGTTGAAGTTTATACAAATGCAGATTGGGCTGGATCYCAAAGTGACARAAAGTCTACTAGTGGCTACTGCACCTTTATAGGAGGGAACCTTGTTACATGGAGGAGTAAAAAGCAAAATGTGGTGGCTAGATCCAATGCTGAAGCTGAATATCGTGCTATGGYCCACGGGGTTGCTGAAGGCATGTGGATAAAAAATTTGTTGGGTGAGTTGGGTTTACTAGTGGCCAAACCTATAACTCTATTCTGTGATAAAAAAGCAGCTATAAGCATTGCTGCCAATCCGGTGCTACATGATAGAACAAAACACATCGAAGTTGACAAGCATTTTATCAGAGAGAAAGTTATCATAGGCAAAGTGTGTACTCCCTATGTCACTTCTGAGAACCAGCTTGCAGACATCTTTACAAAGGGTTTAAACATTTCCAGACATCATGATCTTTGTGACAAGTTGGGCATGATTGATATCTATGCTCCAACTTGAGGGGGAGTGTTGACAGTTGTTTTGTGTACTCAGGTTTAGTACCACAAGGGTACTATTGTAATTTCTCTCTTGTTTATATTGTACGACTGGGCCAATATAAATAATAACTCTCACACTCGCCCCCTAGATTCTGGAGGGTTTTCAGTTCACTCGACTCTCCTCTCTTCTCTCCTCTCCTCTCCTCTCTTTTCTTGCTCTTGCTCAACACATCCCTTTAAAGAGACAGAGGGAGTGGGAGAGAAAATAAAAACCTATTTTYGGTATAGGGTCTTTTTTTGTGTCCAACAAGGTTTTTAAAACTGACTCGGACAATGAGCTGGTCAGGGGTCCGGTTCCTAGGTCGAACAGTCCAACCATTTGAACTGAATGGACGGCCTATTTTGACAAAAAAATAAAAGATTAAAAAAAAAACTAGCCAAACCGTTGAAAGGTTTGAATGGTTCAACCACCCGGGTCAACAGTTTGTTGACCAAATCAACGRGTCTAGGGTAAAACAGAACTGGTTACCTGACCGGTTCCCGGTTTTTCCGATCCGATCCGGTTTTGAAAACCATGGTGTCCATCATGGACTAAGAGTCCAATGTTGGCAACAAACACATAAGCCTCCGATGACATGGTAGAGAATTTTATAATTTGAAATGTAGAGCTGGTTGTTAGAGTTTTGTTGGTTTCTGAACCAACCTGCATCCTAATTTTAAATGTACAACCGACTTTGACTATAATTTTCCCTTTACATTATGTATTTCATTTACATTATATAAAATATTTTTTACTTATCACACTTAATTTTTGTTTGTCTAT